ATCATATATATATATATATGTATATGCTTACTGTATATGATCTATTACAAAAAAGTATCCGCGATTCCAGTCTTCGTCAAATGCTTACAAGACTGGGTGTATCATTTGATCTCTGTTGTTTACCACACATTGCACCGGTAATCGGATGTGGATTGTGTATCTCATTAATATTCTTACTAGTATTGATTGAACATTGATTTAAACATTGTGAAAAAAAAACACGATACTGTACCTGTACTAAAGGAATTAATAGTATTATTAAGAACCAAACACGTGGTGGAGGAAAGCTAAATGCACTACACACGTTGAGACAGAGTCGACACCAATGCAATCGTTTACTTGGCGGGCAGTATTGTGGACCTCCAGGCCAATTTATATCTTCCACACAGGCTAACTCAGTAATAAACATGAATTATTATTCATACTGAACTAACTGAGTTGAAGTTGTTTATATTTAATATTTTTACTATAGAATTTTATTAGTTTAATATTTGATTGACGTGTATCATTAATTGTATTATCTTTCGATGTATTTTAACAAAATGCAATGTATTCTGTGTTGTAAATTAAGCTTTTATCTTTTTAAAATCCAAGTCTCTAATTGTATTAATTTAAACAGGACGATTTTTAAAAACAGACTGTTACATTTTGTCTGAAATTGTATCCAATATATATTTGTTCGAAATTTAAAAAGAAAAACTGATTTGTGTACACACATTATTAGTTCACTTCCTTTAAAGATGTTCCTAATTTTTCAAGCGGAACTGTTTAAATTATTCAGTATTGTTACTACTCTGTATTTACCATGTTTCTTACGGTACTTCAGGCCTTAGCCTTTCTGATTTTGTAATTAATTTGAAGAAATGCTTAAAGCCGGGTTATCCTGAAAATTCTTTATACTTTTTGTTTTATGAATTATTTAATTCCTGTGCTTTTACTTCGAAATAACTCAAATCATTATTATGTAGGCATACTGTAACTGCTTGTAATGTGGTTAAACTTTAAAAATAAATTTCAATATTTTAATTGCTTGCATTGTATATCTAAGCAAGAGGTCCGACTCTCGTGGTTGAACGTAATTCTATTTTAAAAAGTACTGCCACAAAGGGGCGTGTCCTTAAAAGGAGAGTTTCGATTCGAATTCTAATAGGGCGCCCCCTATCCCGTGGCAGTACCTTATTTTTTTCAAACACAAAATCAGGGTATTCGGACTTCTCTTGTACTCTTTGATTTAGTGAAAACTTCTAATAGTTTTGATGTTTCATTGGAAAATATAAACAAATTAATTTTTTTAATTCTTTCTGGATGGTGTCAAACTTAACTAAAAATCAGAAAATGATACATTAATAGCCAGGAAAAGCGTGTCCCACCAACATGACTGAAAGGAATACAAAAATGATCACATGGTGATGGTCGACTAAATTTATTCAATAAAAATAACTTTACTAATAATTAACAACAACTCTGTCTTGCAGTAAAGCTATAAATTTCTCTTAAAAATTTACTTCCTGACATCATGTTTTCATACATACACAAGCTTTTACTGCTTCTTCAGGCAATGGGCTTCACAGAATATTTGTTTAGATAATAAACATTGTATTCATTCATTTTGTGCACACATAATTTATAGAATTTATTACATGATACAATATTGTTATTAAAATTATGGAATATTTTTAGGAAGACTTTCAATAGCTCTACTCTTAATTATTGATTATATTAATGCCTTTTTTTTAATATCAGCATTCATAAAATGTACAGAATTTATTACATGATTTATAGACTTTATTACATGATTTATAGAATTTATACATGATACACTATTGTTATTAAAATCATGGAATATTTTTAGGAAGACTTTCAATATCTCTACTCTTAATTATCTTAATGCCTTATTCAATACCAGCATTCACATTATCAAATACTGTATTTTGTCATTTGTTATTAAACATGTATAGTTTGCCAGCTAACAGGCAGTGTATAGTAGTATGATATACCATGGAGTGTATAGTAGTATGATATACCATGGAGTGTAGAGTAGTATAATATATCATGGAGTGTACAGTGGTATGATATACCATTGAGGTATAAAAATACTGAAGGACATTCACAAAGTACAGTATTCATAGCATTTTGTAAATGGCTATACTTTTTTAATGAAATTATTGAGATTTGTTGTGATGTTAGACTGACATAAGTGTGAACATTGCGAAAACAAATTTAAGCATATACAGTATAGTAATTGCAAAACGCATTTGAGGATACAAACAGAATGGGGAGGGGGATGGGAACGACAGTATCATTTAATTACACAGGCTTGAGACACCATATTGAGAGCATCCTTTGAGATGGTACAGTAGTTGAGATGTTAGCCTGAACTGTTGGGCTTTGTAAGAACACATGGGTGTGCACACACTGCGAAAACAAATTATTTTAAGCATACAGAACATAATAATTGCAAAGCACATCTGAGGTCACAAACATGGGAAACAATATCATTTTATTACACAGGCTTGAGACACCATATTATTCTGAGGGCATCATTGGAGATTGTACAGTAGTGCAGATGTTAGAATTGAGCTGTTGGGCTTTGTAAGAACACATGGGTGTGAACATTGCAAAAATAAATTGAAGCAGATATAGTACTTGCAAAATGCATTTGAAGATACAAACAGGGGGACAGTATTATTTGATTACACAGGCTTGAAACACCATAACTGAGAACATATGGCACAGTAGATGAGAGGTTAGGCTTGTTGTTGCACTGTGTAAGAACATAAAGATGTGAACATTGTGAAAACAAATTTAAGCATACATACAGTAATATTTGCAAAACACATTTGAAGATTCAAATTTACCCCAGAAAGTATCCTAACGCTGCCACTGGGGCCAAGTATTGATGCACAACCTACAAAAATATTTTATAGTCTTGTACAATTATTAACTAGATGTAGAATCATCATCATAATATAATATTATTGGGTGCATCTTGGTTTTTAAATGCTGCATTTTTTTTCTTTTCCTTTTTAATATGTATTAATTTTGATAAATTTTTAATTGTGCAATTTGGACCCCATTGGAAAATGGGCTGGATTCCCGGCCTAATGGGTGTTCCAGATGCTCGTTGTATTTGATTATTGTAAAAAAATTCCTATATTGTATTTCTATATTTTATATTTTATATATGAGCATCGAATAAATTCAATTCAATTCAATTCAATAATAACAATAATATTAACACCAATAATAATAACCAATAACAATAACAATATAATAATAATAACAATAATAATAATAATAATAATAATAATAATAATAACAACAATAAATAATAATAATAATAATAATAATAATAATAATAATAATAATAATAATAATAATAATAATAATAATAAAACTCATTTAGAGCATAATGGATCTGAGGTCACTCCATGTGCTTTACAAATCAACAAATGAGTATAAAATTGAAAGAGGTCCGACTGCCCTGATTCTGTATGCACCCAATGAAACGTTAAAAAAAGTACTGTACTACCAAGAGATGAGGGGCGCCCTATTTACGAACGTCTTTTGGGTTCTTTTGAAAAACGCCTTCTATTTCATGGTAGACTACATTCCAACGAAACCCTGAGAGTCGAACCTCTTGCAGTTCTAGACTCTTTGCTTAAACTAAAACTATCGTGTAAAATTATCTCCCGCCAGACACCAACCCGGTAATCTAATCAAATCAAACCAAATCAATGAAATCAAGCATCAGAGTTGGAAGTACAGTCGCTCCTGTTGGTCATCGCTAACAATTTTTTCTACAGGTCTATCATCAGTGGCTCGATGACGTGCCATGTGCGATGCTAGAACACTACGGTAACTGAAGGCACTTCCACAAATTGCGCAGCTGTACGGCATTTCTTTGGTATGCTTGGCAAATATATGATCCTGAATGATATGTTTCTTGTCACCTTTTAAATAAAAAAAAATAAAAAATGTATATTAATAAATTAAATATTCAACTTCAAACCATGGTGTTGGATCAATAAACTGGATTTGATGGTTTCTTTAATATTTATTATTAAGGCAAAACTTTCTTTATACCTTGCTACGCAAATAGTTTTTCCAAAAACATCCAGACAGAGGAGAAAATACTGTAGAAAAAATTATTGATGAATGTAAGCAGTGTAGTAATCGGATGGTTAAATACTTAATAATTAGGAAGAAATATACATATCTTATTGGAAATTTCAAGGCAGCAGTGGGCATAATAAAAATTTTATTTTTTTCTGAAATTTACATTTTTTGTGGCGGTGGGTGCAATAATTGGCCAAAAATAAAATTTTATTTTCATTCTCAAGGCATCATCACTAAGCAATTGAGTGATGCCTTGCGCAGCATAGAAAAACTTTACTTTCTGTCACATGCCAACAAATATTTCTGACCAAACTGTGATTTTAATCGTCATTGACCACATTAAAGCTACATTTCACATCAAGCCCGGACAAAAAATCGTGAGTTGCTACATTTTTTTAACGCCGCATTCACATAGCGCACGGAACAGTTATTCAGGTTATGTGAGTATGCGTTCGATTAGTTCAAACCAACCAAGGTTGTTGCTGATTGGTCCATGGAAAAAAAACGTACGACTTCACAATACAAATGGCTCTCAAATCCATCGGTCCAGATCCACAGTCTGGATTGGAAATCGTACAAATGTGGTGTGACGGTCCTATTCTTTACCACTGAACCCATTTTTCATGGTTTTTTGTCAGGGCACTGGACTGGATCTGAGCTTTGATGTGAATGTAGCTTAAGGCTCCGACAACGTTGTAGGACACAGCCTGTCGCAATAACCACCAGGAACAATCTTAGGTTGTCATGAGAATATTTAACAAGACCATCACTGACACAGTTTTACGACAACACATTGCATCTGAATTTAACTCACACAGACTCACGGTGACAATAAATTCTGTTGGCCTGTGTCAGGCCAGTAATGACTTTTACAACTCACCTGTGAAATCACAATGTGGGCAACGGAATGGACTAAATTCCTTGTGTGTGTGTTGATGTCTAACTAGGTTGGCTTTGGTTTTGCTGGCATATGGACATATTGCACACTTGAACTGACGTTCTTCTGTTTCGGTGTGGTACATCTGCATATGGCGTTCCAGACTACTCTCCCTCAGACTGAAATGCTCGCAGAGCGGGCATTTAAAGCGCCGCCACGACGGCTTTCGATGGACCTTGCGGACATGTTCCTTCAACAGGGTCTCATGTGCGCAGAGGTATCCACATGTGGAACAAAGAACGGTTTTCTCATCCTCCGTTACATGTACCCGTTTGTGATGAACTTTTAACGCTGCTGCTGTCTTAAAGCCCTTCCCGCATTTGTCACAAATGAACACGACTGAACTGGCATGCTTTATACCGACGTGACGTTTAAGACCCACCGACGTCTGTGACGAAAATTCACAGGTATCGCATTGATACAAATATGTCAGTTTCCTGTGCATCGCTAGAACATGATCTCGAATTTGGTCAGCTGAAAAATTTAATTTACACGCACTGCACTGTAACAATATATTTCCAGGGATTCTGTGGTTTAATTCATGTGCTAAAAGATCTTCTAACTTGCATGCTATACCACAGACAGAACAAAGGTCAAAGGGTAACAATTCTTCTTGTTCTGGCACTGGTTCCAAGACTTTCTTGGGGTTTGATTTTGAACATAGAGAACTCTTAAAATTGTGAAATTGTAGCATATGGAAACGCAGGTTTATAAACGAGTTAAAAGCTTGGTCACAACTTTCCTGATCACAGCTGAATAACTGCTTCACCACAAAATGTTTGCCTAATAAATGTTCCCGCATTGTTGACCATTTATCGTTCTGGAAATCGCATTGCGGACAGAAAAAACCCTCAACGTTATCACGGTGGGTATTGCTGTGCATTGTCCGCTCCGATTCAAGCAGCATTTCTGAACAGTTTCTAATTGGACAGATAAAATAAACACTCTCTGTGTTCTTTTTCTTCCACTCTGATTCCCAGTGAATAACATCTTTGGTTTCTGTAGGAGGCGCACAACTTGTAGCAAACTGTGAATTATTGCTTAAGGATTTTAGTCTTTTCTGCTTTGGATGATTGTTGGTTAATTGGTTAACTTGAGGACAACGTTTGCTAGATTTTATACAATGACTTCCTTTATCAAGTCCTTGATGGTGACTGCTGTCTTTATGTAACCAGTCTGCCTCTGAGAGAATCTTCTGTACCGTTGTGCATCTGAAAAGAAACAAAAAATTATATTCTTGTATAAAAAGATACAGTACCTGGGTTAGCTTTCTACCAAAAAACTTAGGGACTTTTCATGCCTTAAATCTGTACTGTAGTTCAAGGGATGATTAAGAAATCATCCCTTGAACTACAATACAAAAACTACCTGTAATTTTTTTTCCAAAATTAAGCCATACTTTTATAGTTTCCTGGGACTATTGTTGTGAACAAAACACTTTCCTGCTGACGTCTTCTGTTTATCATCAAAATGAGACTTAGCATGTATCATCATTAAAAATTTTGGAAGCTACAAAAATCTTTAGTCTGTAGGTAAGATTAATTTATATTCTAATTAATTTTATCTTATTATTTTTTCACTTTTACCTTAAAATATTTTCTTTTATAGCATTATGGACTGGATGTCCAACCTCCTTATGGAGCTGTGATCCAACATGACTGTTTTCAGCCTCAATGATTTTGGTGCCTGTTTCTTTTATAGCATCATGGACTGGATGTTCAAACTCCTTATGTCTCTGCGATACAACAAGACTGTTTTCAGCCTCAATGATTTTGGTGTCTGTTTCTTTCCTTTCTACCCTGTTTCTACCAGATTCGATGTAATTAGCTCCCTCGTTTACATGATCAGCATGTCTACAAAGTCTGGCCGAGCCCAGTAATCCAGTACCCATCACCTCTCCTATTTTGATAGCAGCTAGACGCGCCAGTGGAGTAACTGTTCTCTGGTTCTTGTTGGTCAGTGGGACGAGTGCTGGTTTTGAGAAGCACTCTGCTTTAATACAAACTCGAGGAGAATCCTTGAAATAGCTATGGTCTTTGCACTTAGAAGGCAGTCCATTATCAGTATAGACTTTATCAGACTTTAAATTCTCAGTTGTGAGTGTGTGCTGCAGAACAGATGGTAGGTTACTGCAAACAGCAAGAGCAACAAACAGATTTTCTTTCCCAGGCCAGGAAATGGCAGTAGAGTCTTTTCTGGGTGTCTCCAGTTGAACCCCAGAACTTTCCAGTCTCTCTTTAGTCACAAGCCTGTTCCTGATGAGCGTTTCGTGGCAACTACTACGAAACTGTTCAATCTTACGATTTACTTTCAGCAGCAAACGTTCACAGAGGTTGCACATTCCTCCTCTGGTGACATTAATGTGACAATATAGTTGCAGTAACTTTGGAATTCCTTTCTTTAAGCTCCTGTTGGAGTAAATGGAATTGAAACATTTCCATTGCTTTGTACCACAGGTAATACAGGTGTCCTTGGCAACTTTTATTGGTCGTCCAAGCATAAGAACAATCTGCTCATCCATATTTTCAATGCATATACCACTGCTGATCAGTGCAACTTTATTTTAAAATGACTCATGACATCAATGACACAACTGCAGAGGCAATCATTAACTATCATCTGATTAACAGAGCACTTAAACACACTGAAAAAGAAAATGGAAGAACACTCCTCTGAGCAAACTGAACTCCTGTTACAAGTATTAAATTGAAAACTTAAGTTTAATACTGTACAAAGAGGATATGCAGGTGATACAACAAAAGACTTGATATTTTCATATATAAAATTTAATTAAATTTTAAGACAGTCAATTACCCACTCTGTGTAAAACTGAAAAAATCTCTTAACTAGAATTATTCATATTTCTAGTAAAATATTAGCAGTATACTGTAATTCACCTTTATGTTGATGTAGACACTAAAGACAGCATTATAATATTCAATTAAATAACACCAAGAGGTCATAGTGCCTAGGCCTACATACCTACCAAGTCTCCCGCATATGGCGGTAGACTCCAGCTTTTTGACCATATCTCAAGCCCTTCACAAGCCACATACATTCTCCCGTTTTCATGCGTCGCAAAAAAGCTAGTACTACTGTATATATAATCTTGCTTCATACATTTTGGGCGAGGCCCACACGTCAGCACTATTTCCAAGCCTATTTTAACTCAAAACATCCGAAGAAATCATGACGATGTTTAAATCTGAGCTATTACCTGCACACTGAGTAGCCCACTATCCTAGAGAGTGCACCAAAGACCATCCTAGAGGCAAAAAAAATTCCAGCCCCCAGGCAGGCCCTGGATCCAGGCCCATTGGAGACCCTTCCATGACACAAAACCCAGGCCAGCACTTCTTTCAAACTTGGCCTGTATGGGCCTAGTGGAGGGCAAGTTGTGCTGAAAGCGCCTCCAGTCCACCAAAGTAAATACTGAAAGTCTATTTACAGTAATATTTTTCATGTAGGCACATATAAAGCATTCTGACGGATTGATATCTGTTTAAATAGGAGGTGGATATGTTTACGTGACCGTAAACAAAATCAGTAAACGATATATATGAATAACGCATGCGCAGTCATACTTTAATAAACTTACATTGTTCACTATTAGCATCGGCCCAAGCCGCAGTGCTCAAGCTTACCACTCACTGATTTCATTATATTTTTGTTTTTATTATATGTGGCAAAAACAAGCCAAACCAGTCACTCGTCGGAAAAATCAATTTTTAGTTATTAATACATGGTTTAACAGTAAAATGAGAGCTATAAAATGGTAAAAGAATCATTTAAATCCGACACTTCGTTAAGAAGTTACACAAGTTTAAACATACAGCTGTTTAAAGAACAATATTTGAGAAATCGGCCTTTAAAGTTTACGATTTCAGGCATTTCTTAGGCAGAAACCATCACCAAATCGTTAAAAATTGTTGTTTTAACATTGAAAATGAGGAAAATAACAGCATAGCATGATGTATAGATATATAAAGGTTGTCTCTTATACACATCT